GGGGTGGGCAAAGAGCCTCAGCCACCAGGGCTTGGCCTGCTTGCTGGGCACGCCCTCCTTGTCCCTGGCTTCCCAGCACTGGATGTGCTGCTGTTTGCAATGTGGACCGGCAGCCCTTCCTTGGTGATGTAGCCCCACTCCACCTGTGCTGCCCATTCCACAGGTGAGGGGAGCTGCTGCCCCCAGCCAATCATTAGAAGACAGGCTCCCTCTCGCCTCCCACCCTCGCTGTGGTGTTGGCAGACACCTGTGGCTGGCAGACACCAGTGGTGACAGCGAATGGAGCTGGTTTTCCCCCTGTGCCCTGCTTGCTTCCTTAGCTTCCAATGGGTTGTTTGCATTATTTCTTTCACCATATACTAAACTGCTCCATTTTAATTTTTTTGCATTTGTAGTGGTAAGCATGCGTAGTTGGGTTCTTGTTAATGGTGCCCCCTAGTGGAACCCATGGAAGTGAGTTTTTTCCAGCCCCGCCGTGCACTCTGCCGGCCTTGGGTAATGGCCAGTGTGTCCCTCTTGTTGCAGTCACTCCTTGCCAAGCAGCCAGCCACGCCCACGAGAGCCTCCGTGAGTACCATGCACTAAACCGGCCCAGGCCCAGTGTCCTGGGTGTCTGCACCATTGATAGCATGATTCGTGAACGCTTATGCTCCCTGGGCCTTTTCTGTTTTCAAAGGCATTGGCCTCTCCACAGTCCAGGGCTAGGAACACAGTAGGGGCTCCCGAGATATCCGCAGAAGGCAAGGCTCTGTGCGAGTTAGAGCGAGCAGACCTTGTGAGCAGGATCTGCTTCTTGGGAGAGATCGAGGTCCAGAAAGGGCAGGGGCCCTTGGCCTCCACCCAGCCCTGTTCCCTGCTCCCTTGACCAGGGAAACACAATCTGCAGAATGTCTTCATGTTTGGAATCTCTATTCCCGGTTCATTTTGTAAATAATAATTTAGTGTGGGTTAGGTGGAAGTTTACACAATGAGTTGCGTTCCCCTTTGACTAACATCATGCATTTTGTTCTGCGCCCCAGGCCACAGCCCTTAGTGTGTCTCAGCTGCACGACCCCCTTTCAGTTGGCTGGATTTCCGTTGATCCTGCTTCGCTGTCCCTGCTCAGCTGCTCCTCTCTGCTTGGGGCAAACGACCGTTTGGTCTCCTAATTGTTTAAGGGAGCACAGGACTCCCAGATTGATGACATTGTTTCTTGATAAGCCCATCTACCATTTGGCTAAACGGTGACCTGTAGAGAGGATAGTTCAAAGCTCACTAGGGTGATCAACTCAGGGCTTCCTCTAGTCTCAGCTCAGTAGGTCTAGCCTTCTTTGAGCTTTGTTCTGTCTGCATTTTTCTCATTTTTATCTGGGACCTTCTCCCTTGTGGCGGTTCAGAATTGTTGGTATATTTTCTGTTGTTTCTATGCACTTGTGTGACCTGTGCTGGTTTTGGACTTAGGAATCTCCTGCGAGAGGACCCTCTGGCTCTCCACGGACCCAGGGCCGGGGCGGGCCAGCCACCGTGCCCAGCGCCTCCCCAGGCACGTCAGTAAAGAAGCCAGACCCAAACATCAAAAGTACGTACCTGGCCATGCTGCGAGGGTGGTTTCCTTGGAGGCCTGAACCTGCAGGAGGGTGTACGTGACCCAAGTTTGGGAGGAGAGACCCAGGGTGTCAGGGCTGTTTGCTTCCTCAGGGAAGATCTGCTTTCCATGCCTGTCTTCTGGGAGCAGGGGGGCCCGTGGCTGGCTGGGCCCTTGTGAAAAGTGGGGACTTGCACACCTCCCCTGTGAGGGCTACACTAGGGTGTTTAGAGCCTCAGAGAGGAGCCCAAGACAGAAAAGACACTGGCATTCTGAATACAGGACACCCATCTAACATGCAGGAATGAAATAAATGTGTGTGTGGTGGGATTCAGAGAATCTAATACCTTTGGGGTCAAGGCTACTTAAAAGTAATCTGTAATTGAGCTTGACAAGAGGAGTGATGGGGGCACCCCCCCACAATTGAGGACTTCCACCACAGTGAACCCAAAGCTTGGGGTGTAACGAGGGGGCATCTGTTATGCTTAGCCCTGTAAACAATGGAAGTAGACTCTTACCCGGTAACCAGCTGCCTGCTAGCCTCAGCAGGGCCATGGGCAAGAGGTGGCAGTGAATGAGTGTGCTCGGTGTCCCAGGATGATGGTCACAAGTTGGTAATTCCAAGGTGAGGACCAGTTTCCTTGGCTCCCTAGCCATCGGTGTGTGACGCTTTTCTTTCTTTTTTTCTTTTTAAATCATTTTATTAGGGGCTCATACACCTCTTATCGCAATCCATACATACATCAATTGTGTAAAGCACATTTGTACATTCATTGCCCTCATCATTCTCAAAACATTTCCTCTCCAACTTAAGCCCCCGGCATTAGGTCCTCATTTTTCCCCTCCCTCCCCGCTCCCCCCTCCCTCATGAGCCCTTGATAATTTATAAATTGTTATTTTGTCATATCTTGCCCTGTCCGACGTCTCCCTTCACCCACTTTTCTGTTGTCCGTCCCCCAGGGAGGAGGTCACATACAGATCCTTGTAATCAGTTCCCTCTTTCCTACCCACTCTCCCTCTACCCTCCCAGTATCGCCACTCACACCACTGGTCCTGTAGGGATCATCTGCCTTGGATTCCCTGTGTTTCCAGTTCTTATCTGTACCTGTGTACATCCTCTGGTCTAGCCAGACTTGCAAGGTTGAATTCGTGTCATGATAGTAGGAGCGGGGAAGAAACATTTAGGAACTAGAGGAAAGTTGTATTTTCCATCATTGCTACATCGCCCCCCTGACTGGCTCGTCTCCTCCCCGAGACCCCACTGCAAGGGGATCTCCAGTGGCCTACTAATGGGCTTTGGATCTCCACTCCGCACTCCCCCCATCATTCACTATGGTAAGTTGTTTGTTCTGATGATGCCTTATACCTGAGTGTGACGCTTTTCTTTCCCTGGAATGCTGCCTTAGATAACGCGGCAAGCGAAGGGGTGTTGGCCAGTTTCTTCAACAGTCTGCTGAGTAAGAAGACAGGCTCCCCTGGAAGTCCTGGTGCTGGTGGTGTGCAGAGCACAGCCAAGAAGTCAGGTATGGGGTCCTTGGGGACCGGTGAGCCACATGGTGGACAGTGTTGGCGGAGTAGGAAGGTGCTGTCTGCCCTGAGCTGCAGCTCCCTACTGTACACTACACATGGAAGTGCAGCTCTCAAGAAGTGGTACTGTGTGAGTGGGGGTACACCCCAAACCCCACACGTGACCCTGGTGTAAGCAGGCCATGGGCGAGGGCCTGCGCTGGTTTCGTTGTCTGCAGGGCACTGCAGAAGCGTGCTGTGACTTGTGCTCTGCCCTACTCAGCCCCCTCCTGCCATCCTGCCATGCGCAGGGCTTGTGCGCCTCACTGCTGGCTGTCTCCTCCGGTGAGACACTTCCGCAGGCACCCGCCACTGCTCTGCTCTGTGGTGGCCCACCCACCGGTCTTTGTGCGAGCTGGCCGGACGAGGGGTCTCTGAAGCACAGGACCCAGCTCCTGGGAAAGTAACACATCTGTCTCAGAGCTGGAAGGCAGTTCAAGGGCTTTCTTTGCCTGCTGTTTTCCCCAGGCAAGAAGTAGGTGAATCCAGCGTTTTCCCCCACTCGTGTCTCCAGGGCACAGGTCAGCTTGGGGCAGGGGCTTCTGAGTTCTTGGCCTCCGGTCTGTTGGTCGTTTGTTTCCTAAAGGAAATATGGGTCAATTTAGGCCTAGTTAGTGTTGGACAGCAAATAATTCAACAAATGCATGGACGCCCGCTTAATGCAAAACTGACCTGCCTGCCCTTGGCCTTACACCTCTCTGGGGTTTCCAGGCCCCACAGAGACAGGCTGGAGACAGAGCCGCAGCTCGTGTGTGTCTGAGGGCCCAGGCCATTTGCTGGGGCCTCTCAAGTACAGAGAGCCTCTCTTGGAAGCGGGTTGAGAGAGTGAGGGCCTGGGACGGCCAGGTGATGGGGCGAGTGGAATGAAGATAGGTCAAATTGGGTTCCGTCTCCTCCTCAGTGCACGGGCGAGAGAAACCTCCCTCCCCCCACGGAAGCGACAAGTCAGGAGGTGACAGACGTCAGCGTCTGTCCGACTCTTACTGGTTACCTTCTTTCCTGGTACCCATCGCTGCCTGTTTGTCTTTTAGGACAGAAAACTGTGTTGACAAACGTTCAGGAAGAACTGGATAGAATGACCCGTAAACCAGACTCCACGCTAACAAATACAACGGAAAATGAAGCCTGAGCCTCCGGACAAAGTGCATCTGTAAAACGACCAAATAACTCTGTATATTGATCTGCTAAGACCGGGATTTCCTGATACGGCACATGCTATCAGTTTTGGGGGGCAGGGGAGATAACTTAAAAAAATACTTCATTGGCTTGTCCGAGTGTAAGGTGCCCGTTTAGGAAGGCTGTGTGTCAGACCCCTTTGCTAAGGATGACCCTTGGACTCTCCGGCCGGTGCCTGTGGAGGCAGCGCGGGGCTGTGTGGGGGAAGAAGAAAGGCCCGTTCTATGGCGGGAAGCGGATGAGACCAAGGTGGTCATTGCTCAGATGGCATTAGACTGACCGAGGGCTGTTAGCAAACCCACTTGTTCTTGGGAAGCAGATGAAGTGGCAGAAGGCCCAGGTTTAGAGAGGAGGACTGGAGGGAGGAGGGCGGCGAGCGTGCCAGGGAGGAGGCGGCGAGCAGTGTTAGTCGAGACTGTGTTCAGTAGAAGTCAAGAATCATGGTTCCAGATTTAAATTTAGAAGCCTTTCCAAACTAAACACGAAGCCAAATGGGAATTAGATGTCTTCTGAATGCCTCTTCAGCTTCTGAGGGATGTGGGAAGTGCGGGGCGCCTGTGTCAGGCGGGGCAGTGGCAGCAGGTTGGCAGAACCCACAAGCTTGATCCAGGCCAGGGCCCCAAGGAGGTGCTGGGGCTCCCTACGTGGGCATTGCAGGCAGGCGCCCGGTGGGCGGGCTGGTGAAAGACAGCCATGGCCAAGCTGGTTTGCTTTGAACTGTGTTCTGAGTAGCACCTGGTTTTGTATGTGCCATCCTCACCACCACAGGCGGCCTGGCCCGTGTCACCGGAACGCCTCGTGCCATGGCACGTCTGCTCGAGGTCGGCGCTGCAAATGCACTCTGGTGATTGGCTTGCACCAATCCCTGCCTTACAGTCCGTGGACACCTTTGAGGATGTCCACTGATGCAGAAGGGTCTTGTTTCCTGGCCCCCCACCCCACCCAGCCCCAATCTGATCAGCGCTCTCAGAGGGACAGAGCCGTGTGTGTGTTTTATGTGGGAAAGGGAAGTGATGCGGTTCTCTGGTTTTGTGCTTTTCATAAAATGTAACATTGTTTTCTTATGGAGAGAAGAGCTCCCAGTGTCTCCCCATTTCCTGCAGAATCACGCACAACCTCATGTCTCACTGCCATTCTGGAAATGACCTTTGTGGAGTTGAAATGACACTTTTCATTTTATACCTGCCACAGCGTTTAACTGCAAACACTACCATGAATTTAACGTGCAAAGCGTGTGTTGTCAAACCAAGGGAAAAGCCACACTCATTCATGTGGAGTTTACTTTTGTACGTGACTGTTTTTGTACTCTGTCTGCACATAACACCCCAGAGGCCGTTTCTTCTCCTGGCCGGCTCTGAGTGACCACTAATGTAGTTGGGCAGGACTCACGCCTGTAGTCCCCATAGGAAGACTCCAAGACTTGTCTTGAGTTGCTTTTTAGTGAAGGTCTGAACACTGTTAGAAAGCTGAGCATGTACTTGCCTTTCTGACAGACTCACAAACAAAAACTTGTTTCTTGTGCCAGTTGTATTGTTGAAAACACGCATTGTTTTTCTTTTCTATAATTCAGTTTTTAAAAACAATTTTTTTTTTTACCATGGTTCCCAGTTAGCAGGCTGTGCGGTGAGGACAGACAGTGAGGTGACTGAGTGGAGGCTGTGGTGGGCCACCCCGACGCAGACAGCCGGGCCAGGGGCAAGCATGACCTGCATGGCCTCTGAAGTGGCTGCGGAGGTGGACCCAGAGCAGTTGCGCCGTTTTAACACAAGATGGCACCTTTCGTGTTTATCATTCGAACTTGGCACTGTTTCCTTGGTAGATATAAAATGTACGCCAACCTCTGAAACGCTAAGACCTCCTGGGAAGTGGCTGCTCCTCGGCCACGGGGTCACGTGGTCAGTGACTGCCAAAGTGTACCAGCTCCAGGGAACGCAGGGTTCTTTTGGAGGGTGGCGGGGTGCTGTTTTGTTTTGTTGTTGTTCATTTGGGGGTGTTCCACTTTTGGAACCAAAGGCCACACAACAAGCCACCTTTCCTTCCAAAGTAAGAGTCCTTTTGTTCATGGGCTGCACCTGAGTGCTTGACTGTCGGAGGCACTGTGATGACTATATATGTACGATCGTGGGCTCACCTGCTCTTTTGTCTCGAATGTGGAAATTATCAGAAGGAGAAACTCCACCTTGAAGGGGGCTGCGGTCCGGGCCTCGTGCTGGTCCGCCCTGAAACCTGCTCCAGGCAACGTGCTGCTGGACCGTTTTGTTTTATTTGCACTTTTTCTTTTTTTAACTCTTGGGATTGGTATTTAAACTGAGGGCATTGCCAGGTGTCCTGGAGTGGACCGAGTGGACCGTGGCTGCTCTGTGCATCTGGACCTCGGCAGTGTTGCTGCCGGCCACACTCTCAAAGCCCCGTGGTGCTTCGCCATCCCCAGAGAGAGGGGAAGAGGGGTGGCCCTGCTCGGGTGCATATGCAGTACTGTTGAACCTTGCTTCTAGCGCTGAACAAAAGATGTCCCTAATGACCGACCGGCTTCAATAAACTCGAATCCAGACCGCTTCCAGCGTGGTGACTTTGTGGTAAAGCAGGCCTCCCTCTGACAGAAATGAACGTGCCTGCTGCTCCGTGCGTGTGGGCCTTGCTCACTTGACGTTATTGGGAATCGTGTACGAGAAATGCTGCAAGCTCTGTTTGGAGAGGTGTGGCGGGCGGACGAAGCTCTGGGTGAGGGTGAGACTAAGTTGGGCCTCTCAGTTGTCTGACAGTCTCTTGCCTGGGGTGGCTTTCTCCTTGATTTGGACTTGTTCTCATGGAGTTGGTTCAGAAGCAGGGAGGCTTCCTAGTGGGAGCCCTGGAGTGATCCAGGAGGACTGTCACAGCAGGTAGCTCCCTCCACTTTATCCTGAAGGGCCTGGCATGCAGAAACCCAAACCCACCAGCCTTCCCATTGATGCCGACTCATAGCGACCCTCTAGGACAGGGTAGTGCTGCCTCTTTGGTTGTCTGAGACTGCCTAACTACAGTAGACAGCCCCGTCTCTCCTGAGACGCAGCTGGTGGTTCTGAATTGCTGACCTTACACTTAGCAACCCAATACTTACCCACTAGCCACCAGGTAGAGACGTTTGTAATTGGCCAGGGGCAGGGGAGTGCAGGTGGCTGAGTACATTTTTTCTTCTGGAAACGGGGAGGGGGGCCCAATAAATTTAGGACCTTTGGAGCTCTATACCATGGTGCTTGTTACTTGTTTACAGTGAAATCTGTCCAAGAAACAGAGTCTGTTAAGGTACATGTACTACCTTCTGGTTACTGTCCTTTAAGAATGTTGAATTTTTTGCTCTCAAGTGGTTACAAGTTTTCTTTTTATTTTGAGATGTTTTTTTAACCTACAGAAAAGTTGAGAGAGACTGACGACCCAGATTATTTTACCTAGGTTGATTGTTTCCTTCCTCACCTCCCTCCTTCCTCCACCTGTCAGTCTGTCTGTCTCCCTTTGCGGCCTGAATCTCCTAACCGCGGGCATCCTACCCTGAGTGAGGGAGGGTCCTGGCAAAGAGAGTAAGTACCGGGACTCCAAGTGCTGGGAGGAGGCCCAGCCAGAACTCCAGCCAGAACGTCGCTCAGAAGTGAGGCTTCATTCATGTCGTGTGCTTTGGGCACGTTCTCAGGAGAGGCCAGTCCTTGCAAAGGACATCCTGCATGGGAACTGGCGGGTCAGTGAGAAAGGAGACCACCTTCAGTGAGCCCAATTAGCTCGATGACGTCAAGGATGGGATGGAGCAAGGGCGATTGTGGACGGCAGGGGACACCATCTGGTGCTTCGTTTGTTATGCATCGGGTCACTGTGAGTCAGCACCTCACAACAGCATGCCTGTGTGTCGGAGTCACTATTTGGAGAATCTAACCGGCTTCCGGGATTGCTGCTTTTCCCAGGAGCAGCTAGCGGGCTGGGGAGGACCTGGGTTCAGGGCAGGCCTGCAGTCTGGCCAGTGTTTCCCAAAGCGGGTCATCCCGCCCCCAGGGGGCGCTGGAACGATCCAGAGGGCTGCAAAAGCCGCTGCCTTTGACACTTAATCCTGGATTGTGAGCTACATGTAGCACACACATTTTTTCATTGTCAGGAGAGGTGGGGTCATTTTCCCCCCTGAAAAGGCAGTAAGCCACACAAGTTTGGGTGCCTATGAAGTAGCCCAGGGGTTGGCTAACTGCAGCTCTGGTCCATACATGCAGCGCTGAAGGAAATTGACAAATGTTGAAGGGTATTGCCCATATAATGGCAAGGCCATTTGTTTGTAACAATGAATTTATGGCTCTGGATTAACTTGTAAATTGCTGTGAGGGACAAGATTGCCTCTTCTGTCTCAAAAATTGGCCAACCCGGGACTAGAACAATGAGAATTTAGGTCAAGAAGCAAGAGGAACCAGACCAGGAGCTCTGCCCTCGGGCCTCCTTGCACTGTGCTGGTCACCAGCGTTGCCCACCGGCAGAGGCGCCTACTGCTCCTGATTGGCAATTTAAATCTCTAAAGTGGAGGTCACAGAGAGCCTATCAAAGGACCATGTCCCATGAGCCCACAGGTGCCACGCAGCCTGGGGTCTGGAGGTGAGCAAGACCTGGACCCGCCCCTGACTGAGGGCCTGCTGATGTCAGAAGGGTGCAGTGCCATCTTCCTGCTCGGTAGGCCAGAAGCACTGTCATTCAGAGCTGGTGAAAGGAAGCCCACGCTTGACCACTAGGGAGGGACAGACCACCTCGCTGGCACAAGCCAGGCCGCAGTGGGGACACAGCCCAGAAGCATCTGAGGGGTTACTGCTAGGCAACGGGACTGTGGGACTAGGTGCTGCAGCTCGGGCCAGGGCTGAGTGGGAGGGCAGAGAAGTTGCACACGGTTTCAGATAAGGAGCCAGCCCAACCTGACAAGTGTTGCAACCTAGTTCAGAAATTTGCGTGTGGATCACGCTGGATATGTTTATCTAGCACTGCCAACACTTCACTTTGTCTCTCGAGGGTGACCATGAGGGTCCCACGAAACACTGAAATGTTGAATTGGTTTCTCGCTTGGGTCTGAATTCACGTAACCACAAACTGATCTGCTCTTGTCTTCCCTGCCTGCCCCCTCAGCCCCACGCTAGCCAGGCAGCCTCTTGAGCGAGCCCTTCCAAGTTTTACTGGAAATGGCAAAGAAGCTTTGAAGTTGAGGTTGTTAGACACAATTTATTTATTTTAATTTTATTTTTTTAAGTAGCATTTTAATTCCCACTGAAGACTTCATCAATGTAGAGCTCTCCTGCAGTGGCTTGCTATAAAGGGTGACCTGGTGTATTGGCCACCAGCCTGTGGCCTCCCCATCTGCCTTTGACAGGCAAACCACTCGACACGGTTTTCCTGGGGATCCCTGGGTGGCTTACACAGAACACCTGGCAGGCGCGCACTGGCCTGCTGGGCGTGCAGCTTCGGCGCACAGGGAACCAAACGTGCTGCCATCAAGTTGATGCCAGCTCGTAGGACGGGGCAGTTCTGCCCCTGCGGCTTCCGAGACGAACTCTACAGGAGTAGAAAGCCTTCTTTCTCCTGGGAGCTGGCTGATGGTTTCGAACTGCTGATCATAACGGTTAGGAGCTCAACATGTACCCACTATGCCACCCGGGCTGCTCGGGAAGCAGGAGACAGAACAGATCCCCCGTGACACACGGGGAAGGTGTTTCAGGGGATCCAGTTCCCGTTAGGTGGTTCTGCCGCCCCTGGGAAGACTCAGTAGCTTGGGAGCCAACCCCCAGCCAGGGTTTGCTCAGCGCTGCAGTAAGGGCAGTTGGTCCCACCCATGAGGAAAGGGGGGGGGGGGACGGCCATCTGGCCCCCACTGGCTGCCTTGCCCTGTGCAGGCCTGGGCCCCTCCCACTTGCAGAAGCCTTCATCTTGGTGCCCTGAAGGTCAGGTGGGGTTGGGCTAAGCAGACTTGCCCGGCCTCAGTCTGGTTCCTGACAGCGTTGGAAGTGCCGTGATAGGAACCCCACCAGGGAGGCTAGGCACTCAGGCAGGGGGCACTTCAGAAGGGGCTCAGTATGGGGTCGCCCAAACTGGCTTAGTCCAGGGACGGCCTCCTGGTTCTGGTTCCCGGGACGCCGTTTCTGCCACTTGGTCCAGGCCCATGTTTTTCGGACGATTGGAATGTGAATTTTGGCAATCTTATCCCATGGCCTCGCGGTTTACTTTGCCGCCCCACCTTACCTTCTCCCTCATTTTCCTGGGTGGGCTTGCCATAACCAGGACCCCACACACACACCCACTCAGCCTCTACTGTGTGTGACAAAAGGGTGTGCCCCTGTCCCTCCCTGCTGCTGGTCCTGGGGCCTTAGGCCAGGCGTCTCAGCCCGAGTCGGGCTGTTTCTGGCCTCAGGCAGAATTGGCATTGCTGTGCCATTGGAGGGAGGCTGAAGGCCACAGCTGGCTCTGCTGGGAGTCCCGAGTCTGGCAGACTCGAACCTGGTCCAGGATCTGAGGGGGAACAGCTGTGCACCCATGAACTGGCCACTCACCTCCCTCACTCACGGGATGCAGCGCTGGGTGCACGAGGAAGGGGCTGCTCAGCATGTGGGGAACAGACGGCAGTGCCACCCTGTGCCCAGGCTGCACGCTCTTGCCACCCAGACAGCAACCACCAGCGGGTCCTTAGTCGGGAGAGAAATTGCACCCTAGACTGTGAGTAAGAGCGCTATTTTAGGGTGGCTGAGCCTAAACTGTGAGTCCCATCACCTGGGCAACTGCCTGGCTTCCGCAGCCAGCTGCACCCGGGGGCACATGTCTGGCTTGGGGGCAGACAGCAGAATGAGTTCGCCCAGCCGAGGGTTGGGTCCAGGACCAGGCTGCTTTTGGTCAGTCGTGTGTGTGTGTGTG